AGAAACAGAAATCTCTTGAAATCTTTTTCTAAGAGACAGCTTCTCCTTTGTCATTTGACCTGAAAGAAGAGCTCACTGATACTGGCAGGACTGACATACATGAATTCTGCTTGCTTTCGTTAATTGACAACTGGGTGACACTAACATTTCCTTGATATTCCTTACCCAAGCAGCTGGGGCTCTTCACATTTAACTAACTTTCCTCAACAGGAGATATATCCCACTGACATACCAAATTCAAATTAAATTGTTTATACTTCCAAGAGAAACAAATGTCAAGACAGTTTCTATAGTATGTAAAGAAAGATGTGGTTTATTTAACTTTGAAGACTTTCTCCCTTTTAGAGGAAACGTATAAACTAGTATTTTGAACCTGTTCAAAGGAACGGCAATTGTATTGACTAACATGAACTAACATCAAGGTTTCATCAAACATATTTGCCCATATAAAATTATCTAATTCTGGTAAGTAGTTTTAACTTCCTCTATCAGTTAGCATTGAGTTTGGCTACATATAAAATAAACTTATGACAACATTTTTTAATAAAAAACCAAGGTAGAAGTTTATTTTTCTTCTCATGTAAAAGAAGTCCAGAAGTAGAAAGTCTACATTTGGAAAGACAGTTTCACAGTTGCGAGCGATACAAGGTCCTCTTATCTGCTTTGCCAGTGTTAAGCAAATGACCTCCATTCTCAAAACCTCATGGTCTAAAATAGGTTGCTGGAGTTAAGTCTATCCCATCCAAATTCTGGGGAGTAGGAAAGAAGGAGATATAAAACACAAAAGTGTCCACTGCCAAGCTAAGTTGACTTCCTTTAAGCCGGCTTCCCAGAATTCCATGCAACACTTACACTTACATATCTTTGGCTAGAACTTAATCCCATGGTTCTACCTAACTGCACAGAATGCTGGGGAATGGGCTAGGTGCTGTGGCTCATGCCTGTAATCCCAGCACTTTGGGAGGCCAAGTTGGGTGGACTACTTGAGGTCAGGAGTTCGAGACCAGCCTGGTCAGCATAGTGAAACCTGGTCCCTGCATAAAAATACAAAAATTAGCCAGGCATGGGGGCCCGTACCTGTAATTGCAGCTCCTTGGAAGGCTGAGGCAGGTGAATTGCTCGAATCCAGGGGGTGGAGGTTGCAGTAAGCCAAGATTCTGCCACTGCATTCCACCATGGGCGACAGAGTGAGACTCCGTCTCAAAAAGAAAAGAAAAAAAAAAAAAGAATTCTGGGGAATGGATTTGCTTATCTGGGCACATTACACTCCAGAATACAATCGGGAGTCTATTCCTACAAAGAAGAGAAGAGATATTGGGTGAAAATTCATAGTCTGTGTCATATCTATTATGTTATACTTGGTGATTTTGTGAGAAATGTCATGCAGCCATGAAAAATAATGAATGAGAACTCTGCCAATTGACTTTGGGGAGATGTTTGTAGGGATTTCTACAGGATTGTTAGGTGAGAAAAGCAAATGTATAGAATTGTAAAATATGATTCAATTTTGCATAACAGAGTGTCTCTACATAAATATTAAATTGTATATATATGTATATGATATATCAATATGTGAATATGGAAACATTGCAGAGAGATACATAATAGATCATCAAGGTGTTATCTGGGAAGGGGAGAAGAAATTACTATCTTCGTGTTGTTCCACTTGTTTTAAGAGGCATATATTATTTTTGTAATTTGAAATACATAAAGTTTTTTGTTATTTTATTTTATTTTAAAGATTGTTTAAAAAGGTGACAGCCTCCATATCTGACCTTCATAACACCTTCTGACATATACGAAATTTCGCAGTAAGGCATTCCATGACAGCGCCTGTCCTAGAGGATCTTAATGAAGAACCTCATAGGACCTCAATACAAAGTGCTTTACCTAAGTTGTCTTAAAATATTTATTTAGCTAAATTATTTATTTAGACAGTATGTTAGATAATGTCAGGAAGAAATTTTTTTTTTTGAGCTAATGAATGTTAACAAATGTTTATAAATATTTAAATATGAATATAAGGCAGAATAATACTACAATAGATATGTTAGCTAAATTTGTCTAACATTTATGAAATTAAACAAAATTATACTAACATTGATGAAATTCAACAAAGTAACCTTTATGAATTATGTTTAATGTTTACCTCTTTAATTCCATTTAGGCCATGAATCTTTCATGAGAAAGTCCTATTTGGGAATTAGTCACACATTTCAAAAATAAATTATTCTCATGTCAACTTGGCTTCATCAAAATTTCATGAAGAAAAAAACTTCAAAATCATGTACAACAGCATAATATTATAAAACTATATTTGATCCAGACATAATAAAATGAAGAACATAAAAAATAAAGAAAAATAAATTAATCGCCTGCTTACTCCAGCTGAATGTGGATTTCTATTTGGCATGGAAAATGGCCAGTGGACTGACCTGAGAAAAAAGCTAAAAGCCAGCAATGCTGTTATGAATTATTGTTCCTTCAGTATAAGGTCAAAAATTTTTCAACGAATATTAAATATTTTAATAATGACATAATTTTCAAAATAAAATTTCAGATTTAAATTTATATTCAAATAGTTCATTCAATAATGGCAGTATTTGTCTTCCGCCTTGGTTGTGGCTAAATATTGATTTTCCATTACAGATCATTTGGCATCTAAACAAAAGTATATTAAGTGGACCAATTAATAAAAATATCTTATTGACTAAACGATGCTTTATTACAAAAAAGGTCCTTCAGGAACACTAATGAGCATAATAATGACTTGGGGAGATGGTAATAAATGTCACTTCCTCTCTGAACAGTACCCCTCTCCCTCAATACTTATTCTGAATCAGAAACGGGCATTTTAAACAAGCACACGAAGCTTTTTCTGCATATCTCAGGACCATGTTTTGAGAAACACTGCCATAATAC